AATGGAATTGACAGGTTTTTTGACGTTCTGTGGACAAGGCAGAATAAACAACTAGGATCTAAAAAGTCTGTGTCAAGACATGGCTAAGAAGAGTCAGAGTGTTTTGTAGATCACGAGGCTTTCCTTGTTTATGGTTTGTCCTATTGTCCTCGCTGGGTTTGAGGAAGGAAACATTTCCCTAAGTTTTAAAAATAAATAAGTCAGTAGGATGCTATCAAAAGCCATAAACTAAAAGAGTCCTTGGAGAACAGCCCAACACGACTGTTGTCAAGGTGTGGCCGCCTTCCTGAGCAACCCATCAAATCCTTGGCATGTCAACAGATTGCAAATGGAACAAGTAGTCCCGGAATTCTAGAATATTCGATCTGGAAGGGGCTTTAAGGGCCAGCTAGGCCATCTCCCTTATTTTATAAATGAGGAAACATTTAAGGACCAGAGAGACAGAGTGACTTACCCAAGGTCACACAGCCAATGATGAAGGAACATTAGAATGAAGCCTTCCTGAAGCTCCTGCACATCCAGAGCAATGTTTCTGCCTCCCTGAGGATTATTTAGAGCTATTTAGGGGATTTAAAATAAATAGTTGACTTAGCAATGTTACAAATTCAAAAACCTAATTTTTCACTATACTTTTACATTAATTTATGTTTTATATTTTTGTTTATCAAGTAGCCCTATTTAACCCAGTTAATAAAATTCTTTTAAATCTATTAAACATTATTACAAAGGTAATATGTTCCATTTTCATTTTTAAATGTCTGAACTATAAACAACTTTCCTAAATACCTACACAACACTAACATAGCTAATAAATCTAGTAAAATTATCAGTGACTATCGATCTTAAATACTCCAGTAAAGTTGTAAAAAAATTCTCTTAATACCTATGTATTTAAAAATCACAATCTGCAGAAGACCTAAACAAGCAATTCTCCAAGGAAGACATACAAATGATCAAAAAGGCACATGAAAAAATGCTCAATATCACTAATTATCAGAGAAATGCAAATCAAAACTACAATGAGGTATCACCT